AATAAGATAAAATGGGCAAACTAATGGTGATATATCAATGATAAGAATATCTATCAGAAAATATCTATCTGTGAGACCAATGCAGCTCGTCATACTATAGAGGTATGCCTGCATTACAGAGTCTGGGTAGTTTTAGGACACAAATGACGTACTCACACCACCAGAGATGTTACAAATAGTACACAAGAATATTCCACAGACCTATCCAGCTTAATTAGTGGTTACAGTATGGACTATGGATGTGAGTATAAACAAATCATTTCTGTCAAAGAACAGTTTAGATAGCCGCCATGTTGGCTGCATAGCTTGCAGCTCCCTGGGGGCTGCCAGCCTTCAAATAGCAAAGGCCAACCCCTCCCTTTGAATAAGCCTGAGGAATGGAAGGATTATAAGGGATGTTGGCCTTAGGAATCACTACAGTAACCAATTGGAAGGGGAATATTGACCAATCAGAGGGGATATCAAGACACAGGAACTGCAGCCTTTTTAAGCCATGGGGAAAAAGAACTCAGTGGGATCCATTCCCCTTCCCTATGTGGGAGTTCATTCTGTGGGACTCTTCCCTCTCCCCATGTGGGAGTCTGTATCTATTCTTCAACAAATTTCCATCTTTGCTATACAAAATAAGAAAAAAAAGAAAAAATACATATTCATACTGAAAAATGACCTATGTATATACAGCTCCAGCACTTTAAAACCACATGAAATAGTATAAATAACAAATAATGATGGATGGGTATGCATATGTGCAGTGAATCTTTAAAATTCATAATTCTGTAAGAACCTTGTACTACTTAAACATTAGGACCAAGTCGGCCTGGTATTACTTACTGTATAAGTATCAACCTATGAAAGAGGAGATTAGGGTTGGATTTCTGTTTGGGGTAGAAGCCTGAGGTGTGGGTTTCATCCCCAGTGGGGGGTATGCAGGAAGACGCTGATACATGATTCCCTCTCGTCATTGATGTTTCTATCACTCTCTCCCTCTCCTTTCCTCTCTGAAATCAATAAAAATCTTTTTAAAATTGAGAGCAAAAAACACAGTGAAGTATACACCCAATTGGAACATGTCATAAAGCATTAAAACTAAGTAAAGTAGTAGAGCAGTTGAAAAAAAAATCTAAAACCTGCTAGGGCTAGAAATAACTTCTAAATAAAACTAACCTCCAGCACACTGAAACTGGAAGGATAATCACAGGAGTGGTCTGACATTCCCCAGAAAGTTCTGACACAGGGCCCTACCTGGTTCAGCTCAGTGCTGTCGGCAGCGGCAAACCGCCGCTAGTGAGCGACATGCGGCTCTTTGGCCCCTGTGGATTATACTGAGCGTGGGTTTTCCACAAAATATTGCCATACTCAAGGGGCCAAAGAGCTGCATGTGGCTCACAAGCTGCGGATAGCCGAACTGCAAGTTTGCCGACCACTGGCCCAGTGAATAGAGCATCTGCCTGGGGACTGAAGGATCCCTGATTTGATTCGGGCCAAGGGCACATGCCTGTGTTCTAGGCTGCATCCCCAGTAAGGGGAGTGCAGGACACAGCCCATGCATGATTCTCTCTCATCATTGATCTGTATTTCTCTCACTTCCTCTCTGAAATCTACTAAAAACAAAGACATAAAAAATTTAAAAATCAATAGAAAAAATATCCTCAGGTATTAAAACACATTATACCAATACAAAAATTTCCTAAATCAAAAAGGCACAAAATGAGTGAAATTGCAACAACCGTATTTGTTATCCCACTGTCTTTATGTTAAAGAAAATTGCTGCCCTAACCGGTTTGGCTCGGTTTGGCTCAGTGAATAGAGCGTCGGCCTGCAGACTAGAAGGTTCCAGGTTCGATTCTGGTTAAGGGCATGTACCTTGGTTGCGGACACATCCCCAGTGAGGGGTGTGCAGGAGGCAACTGATTTTTTTTTTTTTTCGAATTAGAGTCACACTTATTGCAATCGGGACTATGAGGGGTCATTCCCCAAATCTCATAGTAGCAAGATGGTCGCAGCTCCAAGGTTATATAGGCAAAAAATCACAAAGGTATTGATTACATCCCAGGGTTTGGAATGAGAAACCTGATTCGCAAAAAAGCAGTTTACAGAAGCAGAATTAAGCATGTTAATTATAGTTTTGGGTCTTGAGGTCACTGAATTGACAGAAACACCTTATCTAGAGCCCTTGGGTCTTGAGACTACTGAGTTGCCAGGATTTCATTATCTAGAGCCATCGAGGCAATTTAAAGTAATTGCACTGTCCTGGTCTTGGGACCACTGAGTCAAATGGAACGCATTATCTGTGGCCACTAAAACAATTTAGGATAATTGTGCTGTCCTGTTTCCCAGGTACAGAAGAATGTGCTTTCTAAAACCAGTAAGATCACAATCAATGGGATAGTCATTCAATCGAATGTGATGATGTATACAATTCAGAAAATCAAAATAACCTGTCCATTGTTAAACAAAGCAAATAGGTATGATACTTCATTCCCCACTGGTTTTATGTAAATGAGTCAAATCATGGGCTCATCTTTACTAGTTAGGGGATTGTACTGTCCCCTAACTACAAGTAGTTTGACCGAATTAATTTTTCTAAACTGCCACAGGAGGCACCTGATTGATGTTTCTCTCATCAATGTTTCTAACTCTTCTATCTCTCTCCCTTCTTCTATGTAAAAAGTCAATATATTTTTTTAAAAAAGGAAAGAAAATTGCCCAAACTCATAAAACATTAGGCAGAACATATGATCAGATGTTTTAACAAAGATACAGACACAGCCAATTTACATCTGAGAAAAGACCATACATTTCTAGAAAAAATACAATCAACAGTGAGGTAGCATGACAAACTTACAAAATAAAATGTTTAAATCCATAATGATGGACCGAACAAAATATTCTCTAGGATGTGACGAATGTGAATCCCTCACACACCACTGGAAAAATGCAAAAAGGTACAATCAGTTAAGGCTTATTTAATTTATTTTTTAAAAACAATCTTTATTACTTATTGGCATACCATAGAGCTCGGCGATTGGTTGAGTCACTCCATTCTTAGTGAGACATGCTCATAGACATTGATGTTTTCTGTTTTAAACCATATTTCCTTATTGACTTCAAAGAGGGAGTCAGAGGGAGAGAGAATCATTGATCGCACCACCTGCAGGCAAACTACTGGGGATTCAGCCTCAAAGGCAGACATGTACCCTTGGCTGGAATCCAATCAGGGACTCTTTAGTTCGCAGACTGACGCTCAATTCACTGTTCAAAATCGGCTAGGAAAAGGTTTATTTTTTTTTTTAAAGAATAGTTTATTAAATTTTAGAGAGAGAAGGGAGGGAGAGAAACATTGATGGAAGAGTGCCATATTAGCCAGTGACATCCTACACACCCACTTCTGTGGATCTAGCCCACAACACAGGCACATATCTCCTCTGGCAATCAATTCCACAACCGTGTGCTGCACGAGATGATGGCCAAGCACTGACCCACACCGGCCCTGGTGGTATATTCCATTAGGTCACAATTTGCTAATGTCGGTAAATTTAAACATTCCTCTACTCAAAAACCACCCACTATGCAATGAAATTTTGACAAAGGTAAATAACACTTATATACATACAAGGAATTATACAGAAATGTTTGTACTAGCTTTATTAGAAATAAGCAAATCATTTATTAAAATGGGCAAACTGACGGTGATAAATCAATGATAAGAATATCTATCAGAAAAAACAACTCTAATAAATCTCCAAATATTTATGAAACATAAACTAAACCAGAAAAATACTTAGAAAAATACAGTTCTCTACAAAAATGGAATGTAAACCCATGGAAAATAGGAAAGCTGTGAATAACAGGGACAAATTAAAAGAAGTCATTATCCAATTACACAGAGAAAGATATGGTCAGCGTTATGACTATACTGATGGTTTCAGTTTCATGCACATGTCAAGATTTATGAAACACTATACCCAACACATGTGACTTACTCATTATACCTGTTAAAAATGGTTCAATGGTATGCTGGAAGAACAGGTTTGGCAACTCTATAGTCAATCCCCGAATTTATGCCCGCTGGGTGAGAGTCTCATCTCAGTGACAGGAAATGTATTAAACGATGAAGAACTGTCACATTCCTGAACTAAAGACAGCCGTTGTCTCCATCTTTCTTTTTCTTTGTACCGTATTTTTAATTTTTTTTCAATTTTTAATTTCTCCATCTTTCTTTTGATGCCAGCGCAACAATGGCTCTGATGGGAACTTCTGAGAAACTACAGGAGCCAGAAAACATCTTGATTATAATCAATGACAATGACTGCTCCACAGAAGATAAACATGCCTAGAGTCCCTTAGATGTGTGTACACACAGCTCTTGTAGTCTTTTCCTCAAAATAATTCCTGGATGCACAGTTAGATGAGGACCATTCCATCTAAAAGTGTGCAGTCTCATCCAACAACAATTACATCAGTGATTCTGTAGTGAAAGGGTTTCCCCTGAATGCAACTGTGCTCAAACCAGTGACCATCACCCATGATGTTGTAGGCATTAGGGCACATAGCCCTCTGCAAGACCCTGGCAAGATAATTACTTCACAGGTATTGGCATTGCTTGCAAAAAAGAAAAATTCATGCTCCCAGATATACTTGAGGTTGTCACAGCTACCCCATCTTTGGAGTGATCTCTATGTGTCAAAGCATCCATCTTCACATGAGAACTAGAGTTAAATGCACGCATAATAGCTTTCTCCATTGTGAACTCTTTGATGATATTGGAGACCACTTTTACCTTTATAACATTTCCCACATTCAGTGCATTTATAAGGCTTTTCTCCTCTAAGAACTCTCTTACATTGATGAAGGATGTTCTTAGCCATTAAAGATTTCCCACATGCACTGCATTTATTAAGCTTTTCTCCCATATGAACTCTCCGATGTTGACAATGGCTGGTCTTAGAGGGAAAAGATTTCCCACATTCACTGCATTTATAAGGCTTTTCCCGTGTGACTTCTCTTATGATATTGGAGACCATTGCTACTTTTATAAGATTTTCCACATTCACTGCATTTATAAGGCTTTTCTCCTGTATGAACTCTTTGATGTTCATGAAGGATGTACTTAGTGGTAAAAGATTTCCCACATTCACTGCATTGATAAGGCTTTTCTCCCGAATGAACTCTCTGATGATTACTAAGAGCATTGCTCTGCATAAAAGACTTCCCACATTCACTGCATTTATAAGGCTTTTCTCCACTATGAACTCGCTGATGTCGATCAAGGATGGTTTTAGTAGTAAAAGATTTTCCACATTCACTGCATTTATAAGGCTTTTCTCCTGTGTGAACTCTCTGATGAAAACGAAGAGTAGTGCTCTGGGTAAAAGATTTTCCACATTCACTGCATTTATAAGGCTTTTCTCCAGTGTGAATACGCTGATGACAATGAAGGACACTACTAGTGGTAAAAGATTTTCCACATTCACTGCATTTATAAGGCTTTTCTCCAGTGTGAATACGCTGATGACAATGAAGGTCACTACTAGTGGTAAAAGATTTTCCACATTCACTGCATTTATAAGGCTTTTCTCCAGTGTGAATACGCTGATGACAATGAAGGTCACTACTAGTGATAAAAGATTTTCCACATTCACTGCATTTATAAGGCTTTTTTCCACTGTGAGTACGCTGATGTTGATGAACGTCGGCCGTAGTGATAAAAGATTTTCCACATTCACTACATTGATAAGGCTTTTCTTCAGTGTGAACTCTCTGATGATATTGGAGACCACTGCGATAGGTAAAAGATTTTCCACATTCACTGCATTGATAAGGCTTTTCTCCAGTGTGAACTCTCTGATGAATTCGAAGTTGGGTGCTAATGGTAAAAGATTTTCTGCATTTACTGCATTGATAAGGTCTTTCATCAGTATGCACTCTCTGATGATAAGAAAGATTAGTGCTAGTGGTGTAAGCTTTCCCACATTCACTGCATTGATAAGGCTTTTCTCCTGTATGAACTCTCTGATGACGATGAAGGATGCTCTTAGCAATAAAAGACTTCTCACATTCACTGCATTTATAAGGCTTTTCTCCTTTAAGAAGTGTCTGATCATTACAAAGGGCAGGGCTCTCGGTAAAAGATTTCCCACATTCACTGGAGTGATAAGGCCATTCTCCAGTATGACCTCTCTGTTGATAATGAAAGCTAGAAAATTTGGTAAAATATTTTCCACATTCAAAGGACATAAAACATCGACTTCCAAGATGAACACCTTCTCCATGATTAAATGAGGGGGTGTAACTAATGTCTCCCTTACAATCTTTTCTACTGTAATAATTATTTCTCCTTTGAAATGTCATGCCACACGTCAAAATGGGATCTGGACTGTCCCTGGTCTGAGTAGCCTTTAGGTGGAGATGTCCTGACCCAGTAAGTACACTAAGCCCAACCTCCCCGCATGTGAAACGATTCTGGCACACACTGAAATTGCAGCTGTTTGCAAGTGACATCCTGTCCACACCTCTAGTGAAAGTCTTCTCTCTCACATGTTCCTGGTGAAATTTTGCACGGAAGTAAAACCATTTTGCACATGCCCCACACCTCAACAGTATCTGTCTGTGTTGTGTTCCCTGCAGTTCCATCCCGTGGAAAATGTTTCCCAAGACTAGCCCACAACTCTCACAGGGGTGGCTCTTCTGGGAAGACAAGGCTAACTTGGGATTCCGTGCCTGTGACAATCTTACAGAAACCTTCTGTTCTGTCAGGGCCTCCACATTCTCTGCACCACAGCAGCAACCTGAAGAAAAGAAACATAGCAAAAGTGCATGTCGACCTGATCAAAACAGAATATCTTCACCACAATTGTTTATGTCACAACTGGACATGATTCCCTACAATGATTTTCAAAAAAAGTGAGTCAGACTCTCACGAAATGGCTGTTATATATAACATGGCCCAAAAGGTCACTGGATGAGGAAAATCTCACCAAGGGAGGACAGATGCATACGCTGGCACAAAAAGAAGAGAGGCAGGGTCTGTTCGTTATTACACCCCAAATGGCTTCCTTAGGACCTTTCATGCTGGCCATGTGAGTCTGTGTAGAATAAGTTCAATGTGTTCAAAACCATAAACCATCAATCATATTATGCATGTGATATTCAGGGTCAAATTAATACGTGTGCACTCTAAGGCCTGCAGGCAAGAAACAATATTGGGGTGCAGTAAAGCGAGATGTGTGAAACAGGTAGAGGTGCAAAGTTTAAAGAAGTTAAGGTTTTCCATGGGCTGGGAATCCGAGTAGAATGATCACTATTATAACTGAAAAGTGTCAACATTAAGCAAGAAGAAGTAGAATTGGGTTAGGAGTGGCAATGTTAACAAAACATTGTTGAACACAATGAGTTCCTAGTTATGAATATAACAAAGCCCAGGCATGAAAACCTTCCCCAGAGCCCTTCCCCAAGGCAAGACTGCCTCTGGATCTGGGCTGTCACTGATAAAGTCATGTTTCTCCCGAGTTCCACAAAGGATTCTTCCTCTTAAATCCAACTGGAAACACTCCATGGGATAAATAATGCAAATCTTAAAAGGAAAACTAAAGCCCTAGCCAGTTTGGCTCAGTGGATAGAGCGTCGGCCTGCAGACTCAAGGGTCCCAGGTTCAATTCCAGTCAAGAGCATGTACCTTGGTTGCGGGCCCATCCCCAGTAGGGAGTGTGCTGGAGGCAGCTGATCGATGTTTCTCTCTCATCGATGTTTCTAACACTCTATCCTTCTCCCTTCCTCTCTGTAAAAAAATCAATAAAATATATTAAAAAAAAAGACAAACTAAAAATATGGATGGTCAGCACTGTGGTAGAACAGCAAAGCACAAAGGAGATCACCGACAAAAGACCTATGAGAGTGACATCAGCAAGATGGCAGAATGAGAGATAGAGAACCTTTCCCCATCCCAGAGTAAGTAGACAGCTACCCAATCTAATAATAGACAAACATGGTAATTGACTGTACCTTCGTTACTCCTCCCGTTGGCTAATCAGCGTGATATGCAAATTAACCGCCAACAAATATGGCGGCTGATTTGCATACTGCAGGCAGGGTGGGAAGGTGCCATCCAGCCCGCCCCGTCACCATCTGGGCCTGCTATTTGCTACCCGGGGCGGTGGCGCGGGACAGCACCATCCTGCCTGTCCTGCTGCCATCCGGGCCTGCTATCTGCGACCTGGGGTGGCGGGCGTCTGTGTGCGACCCGACTTGGGGCGGCACCCCAACCCCCGGATTGGCCCTGCCATGTGCACGACCTGGAGCGGCGCCCCAACCCCCAGATCGTCCCTGCCGTGTGCACGACATGGAGGCAGGGCAGGCACCGAGGGATTGGGCCTGCCATCTGCCACCCGGGGAATGGGCCTAAGCCAGCAGGTAGTTATCTCCCAAGGGGTCCCAGACCATGAGAGGGCACAAGTGGGGCTGAGACACCCCCTCATCTTCCTCCCCCGCCAGTGCACAAACTTTTGTACATCGGGCCTCTAGAGTAAGTAGACAGCTATCCTATCTAATAAAAGACAAAAAGGGTAATTAACCATACCTACGCTACGCTTCCCATTGGCCAATCAGGGCGATATGCAAATTAACTGCCAACGAAGATGGCGGCCGGCAGCCACGCAGCTGAAACGAACATGAGGTTTGCTTGCTCCAGTGATGGAGGAAGCAAAGGTTCCCCGCCTACCTCAGCCCAGCTCTGAGCTCTGAAAGCAACAGCTCCAAAAGCAACAATGTTTCAATTATAGAAGATAACAAACCCCAGATACCTGCTTTTAGCCAGCCGTGGCCTCAGAGCTGGAGCCGGCTCTCAGCTCCAGTGACAGCTGTAGAAGGTAAATAAATCCCAGAATAAAAAAAATAGAAAAAGAAAAAAATGAGAGGCTGGGAGCTTCAGTCACCCGCCAGCCTGAAAACGGCCCTCATCCCCTCACTCAGACTGGCCAGCCACCACAGTGGGGATCCCGATCCTGAAGGGGGTGTGGCCAGCTGCAAACAGCCATCAGCCCCTCATCAAGGATGGCCAGGCATCCCAGCGGGACCCCCACCCTGATCCGGGACACCTTCAGGGACAACAAGCCGGCCCCCACCCGTGCACCAGGCTCTATCCTATATAGTAAAAGGGTAATATGCAAACTGACCCTAAGAGCAGAAAGACTGGGAATGACTGGTCACTATGACACACACTGACCAGCAGGGGGCAGACGCTCAATGCAGGAGCTGCCCTCTGTGGTCAGTGAGCTCTCACATGGGGAGTTCGTTTCAGCCACAAGCCAGGCTAATGGCTGCCAGTACAGCGGTGGTGGTGGGAGCCTCTCCTGCCTCCTCAGCAGCGCTAAGAATGTCTGACTCCTCTCTCCGCTGGCAAGTGGACATCCCCCGAGGGTTGCCGGACTGCCAGAGGGATGTCTGATTGCCATCTTAGGCCCAATCCCCCGGGGAGCAGGCCTAATCCAGCAAGTGGTCATCCCCCAAAGGGTCCCAGACTGCAAGAGGGCACAGGCCGGACTGAGAGACCCCCTGCCCCGAGTGCACAAATTTTTGTGCATCGGGCTACTAGTCCATTCAATAAAATCCCATAGGAAATGGGAATAAAAGTACCATGAACACAAACAGTAATACTGAATAACAAATAAAGATAACTGTATAGAAAGGATGACAGGAAACTAACTAGGTGAGCAAACACATTTGAAGATCCCTAAAGTCAAAAACACGGGTTAATAATAAGTAAGTAACTAACTAAAAAAAGGAAGGAAGGAAGGAAGGAAGGAAGGAAGGAAGGAAGGAAGGAAGGGTCAGCCTTTGCTGGTTTGCTCAGTGGATAAAGTGTCAGCCTGCGAATGATAGTTCCCAGGTTACATTCCAGTCAAGGGCACATACTCAGTTTCTTCTGCAATGGTTTTTCACAACCCTTTCATACAGTTCCTCATATTGTGGTAACCCCCAACCATAAATTATTTTTGTTGCTATTTCATAACTGTAATTTTGCTACTGTTATGAATCGTAATATAAATATCTGACATGCAGAATGTATTTTCATTGTTACAAATTGAAAATAATTAAAGCATAACAAAAGCAATATGGAATTATATATGTGTTTTCCGATGGTCTTAGGCCACCCCTGTGAAAGGGTCCTTAGACCCCCCCAAAGGAGTCGCGACCCACAGGTTGAGAACCGCTGTTCCTGTGGGTTCAGTACCTAGTAGGGGGTTGCAGGCTCGGTCCCTGCTGGGGGGCGTGCAGGAAGCAGCCAATCAATGATTCTCTCTCATCATTGATGTTTCTATCTCTTTCTCCCTCTACCTTCCTCTCTGAAATCAATAAAAACATATTTTAAGAAAATAAAAATTCAGGGTCAGCGTTACCACTATCAGCCACTGTGCTTCTCTTCTCATTGATCCTAGTGACCTGTTCTCCAAAAAACTGGAAATTTTTGTTTTTAAAAACCACAGAATGCCCTGGCCAGTGTGGCTCAGATGGTTGGTGCATCGTCCTGTGTATACAAAGGTTGAAGATTCAATTCCCGGTTAGGGCACATATCAGAATGTGGGTTCCATATCCAGTTTGCATGTATGCAGAAGGCAGCCTAGTGATATTTCTCCCCCATATCTATCTATCTATCTCTCTCTCCCCATTTCCCTTCCTCTCTATGTAAAAGGAATAATAAATAAATACATAAGAATTTCAGGGTAGCCAAAAAGAAAACAGAGATCTCAAAAAAGGCTAGGGGCAAAGTAAATAACAAGATAATCTACCAAAGCTTATGTATAACATTCAGAAAATGTAATTATGAGGAGAAATTTTATAGAGATAAATGTCTCCATTGTCACAAAAGATCTCAAAGAACCTAACAGACACCTCAGGAAACTAGAAACACAACAGGAAAGTAAACCCAAAGGTTTCAAAGGAAAGAAACCATAAATATTAGAACAAACATAAATAAAAGGAAGACAAGACAAAAGAAAGGAATACCTAAAAGGTATATTTTTTAAAGATATATGAAAATGTGCAAGCCTTTACCTACACTAAAGGAAAAACAAAACAAAACCAAGCTTCAAACAAGTAAAAAAAGAAATGAAAGATGAGACATTACACCCGTCATTATGAAGCACAAAGCATCATAAGAGATGCTGATGTTAAGAGATGATATGACTCTCCATAGAGAAATCTGTCAAGATCCCACTATGAGCTCCTGAAATTAACAAACAAATTCAGAATCCTGTTCAGGTGGCTCAGTTTTTCAATGTGTGGCCCTGATGACCAAAGGTTGTAGGTTTGATCCCCCATCAGGGCACTTGTAGGGGACAACCAATGAATGCATAGATGGGTAGAACAGCACATCAATGCTTCACTCTCTTCCTTTCTCTGTCTCCCTTTCTGGCACTGCAATCAATAAATAAATGCTGCCCAGTATGTGTCACTGATTGAGCACTGATTCATGAACTAGGAGGTCACAATTCGATTCCTTGTTAGGACACCTACACTGGTTGCAAGCTGAATCACCAGTGGGGGTCGTGTAGGAGGCAGCTGACCAATGACTCTCTCCCTCTCATCACTGATGTTTTTCTCTCCCTCCATTCTTCCTCTAGGACCGTGGTCGGCAAACTGCGGCTTACGAGCCACATGGGGCTCTTTGGTCCCTTGAGTGTGGCCCTTCCACAATACCACGTGCACGTACAGTGCGACTGAAACTTCGTGGCCCATGCCAGAAGTCGGTTTTCGACTTGGGTGAGTCTATTTTGAAGAAGTACTGTTGATATTTGGCTCTGTTGACTAATGAGATTGCTGACCACTGCTCTAGGAAATAAAAAATACATATATTTAAATAAATAAATAGCCGAAACCGGTTTGGCTCAGTGGATAGAGCGTCGCCTGTGGACTGAGGGGTCCCAGGTTCGATTCCGGTCAAAGGCATGTGCCTGGGTTGCGGGCACATCCCCGGTGGGAGATGTGCAGGAGGCAGCTGGTCAATGTTTCTCTCTCATCGATGTTTCTAACTCTCTATCTCTCTCCCTTCCTCTCTGTATAAAATCAATAAAATATATTTAAAAAAAAATAAAAAATAAAAATAAATAAATCCAAGAATAAATAAATATCCCTAGCGACCGTGCATCACTGATGACAGTGCTGGTTTGTGCAATGGAGGCTAGGGTTCGATTCCCAGTCAAGGGTAGATACCTGGGTTGCAAGTCCCATCCCCACTCATAGTAGAGGCACATGTGGGAGGCAGCCAATCGATGTTTCTCTTTCTCTCTGTCTGTTTCCCACTCTCTCTCTAAAAAAAACAAAAAACAATCAGTGGAAAAAATATCCTCACTATTCGGGTGAAGATGAAAGAAGAATAAAGAATTAAATTCAGAAAAGTTACAGGATGCAAAATAAACACGCAACCATTAGTTCCATTTCTACAACCTAATAATAAATTCTTTGATGGAATAATGAAGAATGTAATGAAATTTACAAAAGAATCAAAAACAATAAAACCCAAAGGAATAAATTCAACCAAAATGTGAAACATCTGTACAGTGAGTACTATAAGACAGTGATGAAAGGAATGAAAGAAAACACAAATAAGTTGAAAGACAACCTGTGTTCATGGATCTGAAAATGAAATATGGTGGAGATAGCTATAGTACACAAGGCAAACTACAGATTAAATGCAATCCCAATAACTCCAATGGTATTTTACAAAGAAATGAATAGAAAATCTGGAAATGAAATCAAAAGACCTCCATTAACAAAAGCAATCTTTTTAAAAAAAATATATTTTATTGATTTTTTACAGAGAGGAAGGGAAAGGGATAGAGAGTTAGAAACATCGATGAGAGAAAAACATCGATCAGCTGCCTGCTGAACACTCCATAATGGGGATGTGGCCACAACCAAGGTACCTGCCCTTGACCAGAATCGAATCTGGGCCCCTTCAGTCCGCGGGGGATGCTCTATCCACTGACCCAAACCCGATGGGGCAACAAAGCAATCTTGAGCAAGAAGAAAGATGGTGGCATCACACTTTCTGACTTCAATTTATTACAAAGAGAAAGCAAACAAACGGTGTGTTGCTCTAGAAACACAGACACATTCATCAACAGAACAGAACAAAACACACAGAGAAATAAGCCCAGGCACATACTTTTAAGTAATCTTTGACAAAGCAGTAGCCACAGAAGAAGGGAAAGATAGTTTCATCAATGAATGGTGCTGGTATAAATCGACATTCACATGTAAAACAACAAAACTGGACACCACTGATAAAATTTAACTGAACCTGCAGGACAGAAATGAATGTCAACGCTAAAACTTAAAACTCCTCAGGACAACCAAGAGAAGAAGTTTTGGAGGTTTGTTTTGGACAGGAGTTTCTGAATGTGACACCAACCACCGCACAAAATAGAAAAAAGAAACAGTCCACACTGCCACAAATAAAGAAAAATACCGTCTTCACTGTACAACAGCAATAAACAAAGTGAAATGAAAGGCAATCTAGAGAATAGAAGAAAATACTTGCAAACCATATGAAGGAATCTCTTAGAGATATTGTGGATTCGGCTATGATCAGCACAATAAAGCGAATATTGTGATATAGACAGAAATTCACACAAATAGTTAGAGTTCTCCGGTAATAATGAAGGTATGTTAATACTATACTGCAGGCTAATACCAATGCGGTGACTCTGCCTCAAAAGCAAAGTCTATAAAACTTCATTTACAATATTTCATTGCTAAGCACTGGGACCAAGCATCTGAGCTTGCTAGAAACATGGTGGCACTAGACCTGCTGAACACAGGATTGCCAAAAACATGGACTTTGTAGAAAAGTGTGTGTGGGGAGCAATATCTGCAAATATCTACTAAGCACATGCAAAAATATGTGTTCCTGTCTGTCATAAGCAAATAATAAATAAAATCTACAAGGTATTCAAAACACTCTAATAAAAAATACAGTTTATAAACATCATAAGGATGTGGAGACAATTTATAAAAAATATATACACGGCTTTTCCGGCGGTGACGGCCTCCCCGCGACGACATGCCTCTCGCCAAGGACCTCCTGCACCCCTCCCCGGAGGAGGAGAAGAGGAAGCACAAGAAGAAGCGCCTGGTGCAGAGCCCCAACTCCTACTTCATGGACGTCAAGTGCCCAGGATGCTACAAAATCACCACCGTCTTTAGCCATGCACAAACGGTAGTTTTGTGCGTTGGTTGCTCCACTGTTCTCTGTCAGCCAACAGGAGGAAAAGCCAGGCTTACAGAAGGATGCTCCTTCAGAAGGAAGCAGCACTAAACGCACCTCAAATCAAGATGAGTGGGAAACCATCCCAATAAACACATTTTGGATTAAAAAAAAAAAATATATATATATATATATATATATATATATATATATACACGTGACCAATAGGAATATAGAAAATGCTTTTCTTATAAGCATAACCAATGGACATAAGACACTGGGGGGTAGGGGAGTCCAAGGGATTGTCAAGGGCGGGGAAAAAACGGAGACATATGTAATACTCTTTGTAATACTTTAAGCAATAAAAAAAAAAATAATTTAAAAAATGCTTTTCTTACTCATCAAGGTGGAATCCTTTAAGCTTCCTGCAATACTACCAACCACAAGTCCTTCCCTGTGAATTTAGTGCAGCGGGGAGTATTGGGACTTCAGGAATAGAAGGGAGCAGCAGAAGCAGACCAACCCTCCCCAGAACAGCAACTACCCGGGAAACTGGAAAAATCAAGCAGTACCACAGTCTACCTGGGAGGACAGAGCACACCCTGGGGGATGGGGCCTGGGAAACCTCAAAGCCAAGTGCAGGACACTGGTGAGAGTGAGAGTCTTACCCAGCGAGGATATAAGTTCAAAGTTCTCCAGCATCACATTCAGGTACAGCTGTCTCTGACCCTCATCAAGGAGGCTCCATTCCTCCCTGGAGAAGTACAGGGCAATGTCCTCAAAGGTCACACCAACCTGTCAGAATGGAAACAATTGTAAGCAGACCTGCCTTTCTGAGAACCAGTAATCCTACTCCTTACACACCTTCCCCCACCCCTCAACCTCCTCCAGGGCCCCTGGTTACTGTAGACACCAGGCCCTAATGCCAGTGCAGGCTGCTCTCTCGTCACAGTCAATACTCATTGTGATTGCCCTCAGCAGAGCAGCTGGGTTGGGTGGGAAGGATTAGGGGAGGGGAGGGTGGAGAGCAATGCCATTTAAGGTCTGCAGGGCCCCAGCCTTCCTCCCAGGCAACACCACTGCAGTCGCCTAGATCCTGCCTCCAAGACAAAGCCAAGCGTGGGTTTATGCTTCACCTTTAAGTCCCCACACCAGGTCCCGGGACCATCAGCTCACACTTCCTCCAGATGTGCTCACCACTGGGTAATGTTTATCCCCTTCCCATGTTCAGACCCCAGGTTCACTCCCTCAGCTCTGCCCCCTTCCTGCTCCAATGCCACTGGATCTCGCTGGACTCACCCATGAACTTGGCATATGGCGTGTAGAGAGCTTGTAGTCCAGCCGGATCCAGGACCACCCCAGGCCCGGGATGGACCCCACAGCCAGGAAAGCCCCGAATGAGTCTGTGCCGTCCTCCCTGCAGCCTCTGATCTTTCCATCAATACTCACAGCCACATCCTCAGGGACCTTCAGATGCAAGTCACCCCTGTCCTCTCTGCCCTGCACTTGCTGTGTCCTCAGAAGCCACAACACTCCTCTCTCCCCTCCACCTTCCTCACGGTCCTCCACGCGGGACTGAGCTGCAGGACGGGACAGGCGCCCTCCCCAGGCTGTGGTGTGTGTGTGAGGAGGCGGTGAGGGCCTGGGGGACTCGACTCACCTCAGCCCGTCTCCTCAGCGGGGGCGCCACCATTGCCCTCTGTGGGCTGAGCCGGGCGGGAGTAGAAGCCGCTGCGGGAATGGCGGTCCCTGTCCCGGCCCTGGCGTGGGTCCGGGTGGCGACTCCGAGCTTTAATCTCAAGTGTGAGCTGTGAGCACCACTGGCGGCTCCGATGATTGGTTGTGAGGCGGGAGCACCACTCTTTGCCCTTCTCCACGGGACTGAGCCCAAGAACTCCCGACTGCCTGAGACAAGAACGTGAAAACACAAAATCCCCCAGGACGACTACCGGTCCCGCCCTACAGAAGCAACCAAACGGAAATGCCTTCTGTGAGCCCCCATTGGCTCAGCTTGATGGCATTCCACGCTCGGCCTTGTGGGTATTGTAGTTTTTTCACTTCAAGGGCAGGGTGCCATATTTCTCAGTTGACTCCAGGACTTGATTTAGGGTCATGGAACCCAATTACACACCAACTACACTAGGGGTCCTCAAGAGCCTTCAGTGGAGGTGATGTCAGGGAAAGTTTGTTTCTCCACCACTTGCACGGCTGGTTTTGCATATCTTTCTTCAGAACTTGCTTTTCTGAATGGGAGGCAATGTTTTTTCTTCAGGACATTTGGCATGTGTCTCCTTCAGGCCATATGTAGCTGAGGGAGGTGGCTCAATTGTCTAACTTGATCTGACCTGCCTCCATTGAATTCCTTATACAAAGTTCCTGTCACAAAATAGACACTCATACTTAAGAGCATCTGCTTCTAATCCCATCCAAAGTGTCAGCTGTAGCCCTAGCCAGTTTGGCTCAGTAGATAGAGTGTCAGCCTGCAGATGGAAGGGTCCCTGGTTTGCTTCTGGTCAAAGGCACATGCCTTGGTTGCGGGCTCCATCCCCAGTTTGGGGCATGCAGGAGGCAGCCAATCAATGATTCCCTCTCATCATTGATGTTTCTATCTCTCTCTCCCTCTCCATTCCTCTCTGAAATCAATAAAATATATATATATATTTTAAAAAGTGTCCGCTCTGCCTGGGCTGCAGTGTGGATAAGATGGCCAAGAAACCTATGAAAAAATGCTCAAAGTGACTGATCATCAGAGAGATGCGAATTAAAGCAACAATTAGAGACCACCTCACAACTGTCAGAATGGCTATCATCAACAAATCAACCAAGTACAAGTTCTGGGGAGGTTGTCGAAAAACAGGAACCCTAGTACACCCCAGGTAGGAATGCAAACTGGTACAGCCATTATGGAAATCAGTTTGGAGTTTTTGCAAAAATTTTAATATGGAACTGCCATTTAATTCAGTGATACTACTCCTAGGAATATATCCTAAGAAACTTGAAACAATCAGATAGAATGTATGTACCCCTCTGTTCCTAGCAGCACAATTTACAATAGCAAAGATCTGGAAACTGCCCAAGTATCCATCAGTAGAATAGTGGGTAAAAAACTGTGGTACATTTATACCATGGAATACCATGCAGCAGTAAAAATGAAGAATCTCTTACCCTTTCACACAGCAAAGAGGGACCTTGAGAGCATCATGCTAAGTGAAATAAGTCAGTCAGAGAAGACAGTATCACTTGATCTCACTCATATTTGGAATCTAATTAACAAAAAACTGATGGAGTGGATTCAGAGACATGGAAGCATGGAATTACTACAGAATCTTAGAGGGAAAGTGGGGAAGGGTCAAAAGAAACGTCCTCTGCCCTAACTGGTTTGGCTCAGTGGATTGAGCATCGGCCTGCGGACTCAAGGGTCCCAGGTTCGATTCCGGTCAAGGGCATGTACCTTGGTTGCGGGCACATCCCCAGTGGGGAGTGTGCAGGAGGCAGCTGATCGATTTTTTTTCTCTCATTGATGTTTCTAACTCTCTAACCCTCTCCTTTCCTCTCTGTAAAAAAACAATAAAATATATTTAAGAAGAAAAAAAAAAGAAACATCCTCAGGTAAGGATTAAAAACACAGGCAGACACACAATAAAAACAAAGTCTCCTGAGCCTCGAGCATTTTATTCTGTTCCCTGGAAGCAAGGGGAAAGCTCTAGCTTGCTGGGTTCTGGGTCTGTACTACATTTGTGTTTATAAATCTGTCTTCCGTCAGTTGAGTCCCTGGAAATGCTGACACCCCTCCATGTAACCTTCGCCTGCTTCACATGAGTCAATTGCTTTTGGTGTTGTTGTAAGAAATGTCCAAACATGTGGAGAATTCTTCTAAGTTTATATGACCCAAGTCGGCGACATTTGCCAGGAAGCAAAATAACAACAGGTTGAACAATGGTCAGGAGAATGACACTTTTGCAGCTTTTTTATACATTATACTCAAAAAAGAAGACATATGGGGGTTACATGAAATTCACCGGTGATAAATTAGAGTGGGGGGAATGAGGAGGGAAATCTCTAGGATTAAATAAAAACAAAAAAATAGACAAAAACTTAGTTTTAAAATGTTCTCCAACAGTTAACACATAATATTTGACACAACAACAATAATAATTGCGGACCTGAGGTCTTCTGTGTTTGGAGATTGTGCCCTTAGGAGTCTGTAAAGAAGGAAATTTCGCCCTAACTGGTTTGGCTCAGTGGATAGAGCAAGGGCTTAGTGCAGGATCAGATGACTGGTGTTCTGAAAGCAATGGAGAATGTTAGTAGTGCAGGTTAAAATTAAAAATGTTCATTGCACAGGGCATAGCATTTAAAAGGTAATGACTCACCCAGCTGGCATGGGTCAGAGCTTGAGCTTCAACCCATGCACAAAGAGTTCCTTGGATAGATTCCCAGTCAGAGCACATGCCCGGATTGCAGGCTCCATCCCCAGCAGGGTGTGGAGGAAGCAGCAATCAATGATTCCCTCTCATCATTAATGTTCCTTTTCTTTTTTAAGATAAGGGACACAATTTTCTTTAATTTTTAATTGATATCACAGAGGAAGGGAGTCAGAAAAATAGAAAAATCAATGATGAGAATCAGTGATAAGCTGCCTCCTGCAAGCCCCACCTGGTGATCTAGTAGGGGGCCCATGCACGTGCCCTGAGGGGCAATGGAACTGTGACCTCCTGGTCCATAGGTCGACTAAGCCCCCTTCACCTGCCTATCATTGTTTTTTTTTTCTCTCTCTCTCTCCATCTCCCTTGGTCTATGAACAATGGTTGGCAAACTCATTAGTCAACAGAGACAAATATCAACAGTACTTCTTCAAAATAGACTCGCCAAGGCCGAAAACCGACTTCTGCACGTGGGCCATGAAGTTTCAATTGCACTGTACGTGCACGCCCACACGTGGTATTTTATGGAAGAGCCACACTCAAGGGGCCAAAGAGCCGCATGTGTCTCGCGAGCCGCAGTTTACCGACCATTGGTCTATGAAATCAATAAAATATTTGAAAAATCAATTAAATATATTTATTAACTTAGTAGAATTAAAATATTTTAAAATATATTTTTATTGATTTCAGAGAGGAAGGGAGAGGTAGAGAGAAACATCAATGATGAGATAGAATGACCGATTGGCTGCCTCCTGCAGCCCCCACACTGGGGATTAAGCCCGCAACCTGGGCACCTGCCCTTGACTAGAAACTCACCCTGGACCTTTCAGTCGGAAGGCTGATGTTCTATTCACTGAGCCAAACCAGCTAGGGCAATTAAAATATTTTTTAAGGAAAAAAATATTAAAACATATCATTCCAATACAAAAAAATGTTTATTTTATTTATTTATTATTTTTTAAAAATATATTTTATTGATTTTTTTACAGAGAGGAAGGGAGAGGGTTAGAGAGTCAGAAACACCGATGAGAGAGAAACATCGACCAGCTGCCTCCTGCACACCCCCTACTGGGGATGTGCCCGCAACCAAGGTACATGCCCTTGACCGGAATCGAACCTGGGACCTTTCAGTCCGCAGGCCGACGCTCTATCCACTGAGCCAAACCAGTTAGGGCTAAAAATGTTTATTTTTTAAAGTAAAAATGCACAAAATGAGTGATATGCCAACATCCATCTTTGTTGTTCCAGAATCCTATTGTTAAAGAAAATTGCCTAAACACATAGCACATTAGGCAGAACATATGTTGTTTTAAGAAAGATACAGGCTCAGCAAACACGCTTCTGAGAAAAGGCTCAGCATACATTCCTAGAAAAAATACAATCAAACAATGAAGCAGCACAACAAACGTCTCAAAAAAAAAGTTTAAATCAATTATGATTGACTGAACAAATTATTCTCTAGGATGTGGAGAATGTGAATACTTAACACACTGCTGAAAATGTAAAAAACTGCAATCAGTTAAAGTTTATTTTCTATTTTTAAAGAATAGCTTAGTAATTTTTAGAGGGAAGGATGAGGGAGAGAAACATTGATGGAAGAGTGCCATATCAGCGAGCCGCCCCCTGCACACCCACTTCTGTGGATATAGACCACAAGCCAGGCACATATCCCCACTGGCAATCATCTCTACAACCCTGTGCTGCATGAGATGATGGCCAAGCACCGAGCCACACTAGCCCTGGTGGAATATTCTATTTAGATAACAATTTGCTAATGTCGGTAAATTTAAACATTCATCTACTCAAAAACCAAGACTATGCACCGAATTTTTGACAAAGGTAAATAACACTTATATACATAGGAGAAATTATACAGAAATCTTAGCACCAGCTTTGTTAGAAATAACCAAATATTTATTAAAATGGACAAACTGATGGTGATATATCAATGATAAGAATATCTATCAGAGCCCTAACTAGTTCCGCTCAGTGGATACAGTGCTGGCCTGTGGACCAAAGGGTCCAAGATTTGATTCTGGTCAAGAGCATGTACATCCGTTGCAGGCATATTCCCAGTAGGGGCAGTGCAGGAGGCAGCTGATGGCTTGAGTGATGTTTCTAACTCTCTACCCATTTCCCATCCTCTCTGTAAAATCAATAAAATATATGTAAATATTTTTTTCAGAGCTTTTATATTTCAGTATTTGAGTTTATTCTTCATATAACTTTTAAAACACTATTATACTTGAATATTAAAACAAAAACAATAGCAAGTAGTGAGCATATTATCGTTACAGTCCATCACTTATTCACTACTGTATATAAAATGCCAGCAGTGAGTGTTATTCACTGGCCCCATTGAGAGGTCTGACGGCTCTGCATAAAGAGAGGCTGCCCTGGCCAAACATGGCGAGTGTGCATGCCACAGTTCACTTTCAGGCCATAATCGTCTACATTGCATGTTAAAG